TGTCTATGCTTGCTTATCCTGATGAATCTTTTAGCAGAAACCATTTCTCCTGAAGTCTTGCATTATCATTTCATTGAGAGTAATGGAAATGTTACCTGTCCTTCTTTATTTGTTGCAGAATTTAGGGACAAGGAAGAAGACCGTATATGTTTTCTTAAAATCAATGGCCAGCACATTACAGTAAAACCTATTGATTAAAAACACAAAGTATAATGTTAGTCATTTAGTCTGTGAAGTGATGCAATAAGGGAAGAAATTTATCCTTTGACTTTTGCATTAACCTTTTATTGACTGCTTGCATACCCATAATTAACACACACTTTAGCTAAAGTGGTTAATTTTAGCATGGCGGCCCCCGTTCGCTAATGTAGCTGCAAGTCCGATCATCCAAATGCAAGTGCAGCCCTGGGGAAATCAGCGGGGCAGGGAGGCCCCGTGTGAGTTACACCTTGGGGGTGGGGACCTCTGGACAATCTGCTAACAGCCAGCCAGCGTGACACCTGTCAGTTGCTTCCTGTTACATCACTAGGTCATCCATGGAGATCCGTTTCGAAGTCGCAGAGAGTTTGAGGGGGTGGCTGATAGAGTTCTTGGAGTCAGAATAATGTGGATTTAGGGGAGAGAGAAAGAGAGAGATGAAGTGTATATATATATGTATTATTTTTCCTTGCTCCCTTTGAACTGCTTCATGAAATGGGGCAGTATTTTCTGAATACGTCCAAGTTTATTTGCTAACCCAAGATGCATTGAAAAAATAGGGGTTTTCTTTAGAATAGGATTAGAGAGGACAAGATTGAAAGGGGAAACTAACTTTCTCACAGTTTAGCTGGGTTCAGGTAGGACTTGGGAATGACACTGAGTTAAGGGAATCTTTTTTAACTTTCTTTGATTAGCAAGATCATCCATTTCTAGTCATAAAAACTGGCTTATTTTCATGCAAAGGCCAGTGGCACTAGCAGTCCCCTTGTTTTCTGGGTAGAAATTTGTCCCAAATAGAAATACTGTTTGAACCAAAACCAAACTCCATTGCTCTCATGCTTTCATGTCCAGGTGGTCTCTGCACACTCTACACTGAATCAGTCAACAGCGATGTCCCCGATTGGGGAGAGGACCGTCTGTGTCCACATGACACAGGCAGTGTGGCAGTGGATGTTGTGAAAGGCAGGAAGTAACTGAGACATAGGAAGCATGGCCAGCATGTCAGCATGGCCAGCATGTCAGCTAGGATTCTTTGGGTTGCAAGCAACAGGAAAACCTAACTCAAACAAAAAAGGTGTATGAAACCGACTAGACTAAGCATAGCCAGCTTCAAGTAAGGCTTGACCCAGCTACTCAAACAGTGTCGCCCAGGACTGAGCCCCTTGCTGCATGACAGCAAAATGATGATGGCAGCTCCGCGTCGCACATAGGATAATGGTTCACAGACCAGGAGAGAAGAAAGTCTTTTCTTGTAGCTCCCGTACCAGCCTCTTGATTTTGCCCCAGATTGGGTCATGTGCCTCCCCCTAAACCACTCCCTGTGGCTGGAAGAGGGTTCAGTGCTGACCAGCGAGGGTCATTCAGGGCTCTCCCCAGGCTATAGAGGTGGAGCCAGTCCCCCCAAAACGAAGTCACAGAGCATGGGAAAGGGACGAATTCCCCATAGGAAAATTAGAATCCTGCTCGTGGGAGTTATGGGAATAGATATCAGACAACAAAAGTCCACCACAATCAGTGTTCCTGAAATAGTTCTTAAAACAACTTGGGACCCCTTTATTTTGCAAGGGACTGTAGAGTATGTGCTACACATGCCAAATCAATCTCAAACAACCACCATTTAGAAGGCCCGACAACAGTGCCTTTTATTAATGCTAGGTCTTCAGGAACAACTGCCGATCCTTTCTGAATCTGAATGTTCTAGCCTGTCCCTGGAAAGCTGTAGCAGCTGAATACATAAGCATCAGGGTCCTGGAATGTCACAGTGTGATGGCGTTCAGCTGTAGGCTCAGCTTGATTCAAGCCAGAGAGAGCTGCGCCTGTATCTCCAGTGCTTCCCCCAGAAAGAATCCGTCCGGCTGCCCACCCAGTCAGTGCGGGGGGAGGAGACTGCCCGGCTGTGACAGGCAGCACTCTTGTTGGCATCTCCCTTCTGTCACTGGGACTCACAGTAGAAGTGACAATAGTGAAAATGTTTAATATTTATTGAGCACTTGCTATGTGCCAGGCAGTGTCCTAAGTACTTTCTCTGTGTTAATTCATTCAATCTTCACATCAACCCCATAAGTAAGGTACTGTTGTTATCATCATCATCATCATCACTACTTGACAGACAAGAAACGGGGGGTCAGCAAGGTAAAGGGACCTGCCCAAGATGTCATGCCCTTGGAAAGTAGCAGCACCACGAGTCCAGAGAACACACTCTTAACCACTGCACTGCAATCCCCCTCCCTCACCGTCTTCGGAAACTGAGACCCAAGAAAACAGAATGAGTGACGTGAGCAAGAGAAGTGAACACCTAGCGGGGACGTGCCTTCAAGTAACTCCCAACCTTGTATTTTTCAGTTCCACAGTCTGGCACGATGCTGACTCAGACGATATAATTTGAGTTGGGGGTGCCTGTCCTTTCCCATCACCTCCAACAAAGAGCCGTCTTCTGGGCCCTGTCTCTGTTTGAAATCAGCAAGGGCACTGGGCATTAAAGGAAAGGTTTTGAAGCAATCTTGAAATCTTTGAATCAAGGCTCTGAAGAAGCCCAGCAAAGGGTTCTACTCCCAGCCCAGGCGGAGCAGCGAACACACGCAGCTCCTCGCCTATCAGGGCCTGTGTCCAAAGGGGCTGGTGCCACACCAGCCGGCCCTCTGATGAGAAGAACAATGGCAGAGCACCGTGCAACAACAGCTTTGTGCAACACACACTACCTGTTTAAAAAAAAAAAAAAAAAAAAACAGCTTTGCCCAAAAGAAAAGCCAGCGGACTTGGGAAGCTTGTACAATGCAGCATTAAGCAAACCTCTGCAGCAGGTTTGAATATTTTTAATACACTTTCTCAAAGTGAGGAGGCAAAACCCATTTGACAGGTGAAAAAGCATCTCTATTGACTTTTTACAAACCATATGATATTCTAGGTGGATCGACACTTATCATAGCCCTTTAATCTGCCAGCCAGGATAATGTGCGCACGGATAATTTATCCACTGTGAGATTGAAATGCTCAATTTGGAATAACTTTCCCTACCCAGTAAATTGAGCATTACTCTAGGATTCCGAGGCAGAGAGAAAGCACAATTTAAAAAGCCTTGCAGAGTTCCTTTGTAATTAGTCGCAGCTCCCCTTGAATATTAATTTCCCCCTCATCCCTTTCAAGTGGTTTAGAGACCGTCTCTAGAACTGCGGCAATGCACCCTCGGAACCACGGCAGCAAGCGACAGTCTCAAGCACCTATTATTAAGTAGTCTGCAGAACACGCCCTCTGTTCTTCAGTGCAGAGTGTCGCTTATCAGAGCAAACAGTTTAATATTTATGCTAAGAGGATTGTCAAAAGCAGCTTCTGTTGCTTTAATTCTTGTTTTAAATAAATAATGAGAACATTTAAACACATTACTCTTCTTGGGGCCCCGAGGTCAGCTAATCTTATTATTTATGAAGTGATGTGCTACATAATAGTACTTAGTGCATGTTAACAGACGCTATTATCAGGGCCTGGTGCGGAGAGCTGAAGATATATTGGAATGTTATGTGTAATGTACGATGGATTGAGTGCATAGGATGCCGGTATAGCAATTAACCACATGCGAAAATAGGTGTAAAGTTGAAGTATGTTTTCCCGTGGGGATTCCTTTGCCATTAATAATTCCCCAGAGAAGAAGATGTCTTTGAGTTAGGAACCTACTCTCCCGGCCTGGAAATGGGGCCGGGATAGTCCATCGTTTGATCTATTTGTGGTCATTCCTACACAGGCAAAAGACGAATAATGGCTCCGACCAGTTTTTAATTGATACAGAGAAAGATGCAGAGAGGGCGTGGGTGGGAGGGACCGTGTGCCTCTTCCCAATGTACTCAGGGTACTTGTTTTTTGGTGCACACACTTTCCCTGCCGTGTGCTCCAAGAGCGTAGAGAAATTGTTCATTCTTTATTGCAATTTGGTTTCTTCTCTCTGATCTTCATTTTTCAGATAAATAAAGCTAAAGCCACTGAGCTTTCCCAGACCACTTTTAAATAAGCCGGCCTCTCTGAGAGGTAGATGCGAAGGTGTGATAATGTTGCCCCAATTTTTTTCCTATGAGGCTATAATTTAGCTGCATATGATAATTAATTTCCCTACTATTGATGAATAATCCATTTAATAAAAACCGTGATTTAAGTGTTTTCCTTAGGGACTAACTCTTGCTAGCCTCTTAATTTAATTTTGTGGAAGTTTTCCCCACCTCTTCATCAGCGGAAATGATTATTAACCTCTATTTGCATATATCCTTATAAATCGGTCTCTCCTTGGAGTGCCTTTTTCCGAGCACAGCAAGCTGGGACACTTGTAAATCTCCAGGATCTCCAAAGTCAATCCTGGTCTGTAATATTGTTTAATCTATTCTTGGACGTTTTAATGCAGTAAATTCAATTTAATCTTTCCCAGTAATCTAGTAATACATCGAAATCCCACAAACATTCAAATCTGATAATGGCTTAATCACACACTTTAAATAACAGTTGAGATAATGAAAAAATAATTCACCATTTTAAAGGCAGAGTAACTGAATTTCCCCAATGATTGGCTTCTGCAAAGCCACTGGAGATAATGCAAGTCTGGGGATTGAAAAAAACAGCAAGTCCCAGCACCATGAAGGAACAATTCTTCTTTCTTGTAAATACCTGCTTTCTGCCTTGCAAACTCGCTCCCACCATCACCACACCCTGCACCGCAGAGGATTGTTCTTGAAGCAGTGGCCAGTGTGGCTCCAGTGTCCCATGGGCCCGAGTCTTCTAGGAGTTTCCTCCCATGGATTAATTACCCATTCTTCCTCTTCCAGGTGCCAGTGTCGAATTGCCCGAACGCTGCCCGTGGATCAGAAGCCAGAATGCCGGCCATACTGGGAAAAGGAGGACCCTTCGATGCCTCTGCCGTTCGATCTCACAGACGTTGTCTCAGAACTCAGAGGTCAGCTCCTGGAAGCCAAGCCCTAGAAGGAGCACAAGTCTTAGGTGGAGGAGAAGAATATGTCTTTGGCTTTTCTCCTGCAACCTTGTCATGGGCTTGGGTGAGGGCGGTGTAGACTTCTCTTGGTCCTTAGATTGTGGCACCTGGGTCCCAGTTGGAAACAGCCAGGGAATGGAGCCTGTGAATTTTTAACTGTTTAAATATGGCACAGTCTTATAGTCTGATTTGGTATTACACAAGAATTTTCCTCCAAAAACACTTCCCCACTTGGATTTTTTAATGTGAGCCAGTCAGCCACCAAGGGCCAAGGAAAGCCACAGGGATGAGCCCAGCGCGTGACAAAACCTAACCTACCTTCCTCCTTCCCAAGCTTTTTCAGAGGCTCTAGAGTGGACCAGTCATCTGGGGAAAGACAGAACTAGGAACATCCATCCCAGCTTCTCACCACACCCTCTAGAAGCCGCGCTGTGCAATGGTAGCCACTAGCTAGCTGTGGCTACTTAAATTTAAATTCAGTTTCAGTTTTAATTAAAAATTCTGTTCCTCGGTTGTCCTAGCCACATTTCAAGTGCTTAATAGCCACATATAGCTAGTGACGACCATATTGGACAGCACAGATGTAGAAAAGTTTCATCATGATAGAAAGTCCTGTTAGACAATGCTTCTATAAAAAGTCTGAAAGCAGGAATTCTTTTTCCCAATTCTCTCTCTCTCTCTCTCTCTTTTTTTTTATTCACTTAGCCTTGACTTGAAACTCTTCTTTTCCAATTCTCTATACTCTCTATCCCTGTAGGAGAAACTAAAAGAGAAATAGCTCACGGAAGAGCAGCCTCTTTCCCTTCTCTAAGATGTGCCTGAGTCTCAGTGTGAGTTAGGAATCCTACACTGTGCACACAGGAATAAGGCGGAGTTGACAATTCAAATAAAGTCGGTGTCCTGTCTTTAGGGGGTTCCCAGATCTAATGAAAGAGGCAGCCCCCTTTCCGTTGCTCCGTGGATTTAACCAGCACAGTATAGTTTTTCTATAAATGCCCCATTCACATGTGATGACGGCTGGAATCGAGGCTTAGAGAACCCAGTGCCCCACCCTGGTGACATTGGGACGTCGGAGAGACAATGGAGATTAGAAGTTAAAATCTGGGCTCTGGCTTTAGAGCGCCTGGATAAAGACTCCCACTAACTTCTGTGACCTTTGACACGTTGTTGTTCCTCAGTTTCCTCATCTGCATAATGGGGCTACACTAAAGGCACCAACTCCCAAGGTGAAGTTTAAGTGAGGTGATCTAGTACAGACTTAGAACCCTTTCTGGCACGTAATTAAATGCCCAGTGAATATTAGTGTTATTATATACCAGTACGCTGACCTGGGTGTAGATGTTTTCTTCTTTTCTCAATCCCTGTGCCAGTTTTGGTGCCATTCACACATCTCCCCCTTTCTGGCCTGGCTCCTGTCCCTTGGTATCCCCAGAAATCTTGAGAATGGTGAGCCCCTCCCCCGGCCTGTTGCCTTCTCTTGTAACTATTCTCAGTAGTTCAGCAGCTGAAGAGCCTGTGCCCACTGACAGGTGCGCTGAGACCACCACTTTCCTGCTGTCAGAATCTCAGTGGTTCAAGGTACGCGCCCATCGCCAGGGAGGTGACAGCCACAGAAAAGTCGTGTTCCACAAAGCAGCCAGGGCCCCATCCTGTTGACACTCGAGTCTCTCAGACCTTAGATTAACTCCCTGATGTCTTTGGACCTCGATTTCCTCATCAGTAAGAGAGAGGTGAGGCCCTACCTCACAGGGTTGTTACAGAGATGAAATGACATAGGTAAGGGGCGAGCGGCGCGTGGAAATCACAGGTTGGGCACCCACAGGCCATCCAGCCCAGTGTGTCGTTTAACCCCCAGGATGTCTGTTCTTTGTCGTATTTCAGTAGGTGCCAGTATTGAAAAATTGGGAGAGTTCACATAAAATGTAAACGTGCGTGTTCTCTTTAGAATCCGGAACACCTAGCAGTCCTAGGCCTCCGTCTTAGCGTGGCCACGCGCCAAGTAGCGTCTTCCTGCTCCGAGGTGGGGTGCGGACCCTCCTCCGTTTGCCCCGGCGCTGCCACTCCCCCGTGCCGCTTCCCGCAGACCTGACCGCTCTGCCCTGCGTGTCCGCGCTCTGCGAACCTGCTTGCTCGCACCCCTGCAGTAGAAATAAATCATGTGTAGCGCTCACCTCCGTGTCTGCGTATCACTCTCCAACTGCATTCACGCACAGCTTGTACCACTGTCGTGTGCATCAGAAAGTGTTCCCATACAATAAAGACATTAAAAGGATGAGATAAGAAACCGAGAGAGGTTCTGCTGATTTCTTCCTTGCCCAGCAGTGGATGGGCCAGGTGGAGCCAGGTGACCAACAGCAAGGTTGGAGAAGCCGCTACCTTAAGTGAGGCCAAAAGATGAGATCGCGTTTTCTCAGAAGACCTGGTGGCCTCCCGTGAGCATGAGCGCCGTGTGTCTGAGGATCACATGTGCTCTCCGGGGAGGTTTCAGGTGGGAAGAAGAAGGAGGAGGGCAAGAGACAATAAAAAGGCGGCTGGTGGGGCAGTGACAATCCACTCACATCCTGCAAGGTCAAGGGAAGGCCCGTTTGTCCCCTGCGAACGGGGCAAGGACGTCACTGGGAACACTGGTCCAGAAATTGCCCCCTCCCCCCACGTGTGTGGCCGAGGGGCCAGGGCAGCCTTGATCCTGGGATGGCCTGGCATGGGCGGCAGCCCCCACGTTCCTGCCACGCTTCCCTGCAGTCGCCTCAGGTCCCTGCTATCCTGAGAAAAGTGACCTAAGACATCCCTCTGCACCCAGAGAGACCTCCCTCTCTTCCTCCCTCCTGCAAACCTTTCCTGGCGCCTACTGCAGCTCAGATCCAAGGATAGATCACAGCCCTCAAGGGGCTCCCCGGCCAGTGGGCGCCCAGGGGTATGCAGTGGCCAAAACAGGCACTTACCCCGCCGTGGGGAAACAGATAGCACCCAGCAAATGAATGACGAGATCATTCCGTATGGCGGTAAGTGCCAGGACGGGAACCAACTGGTTGAGGGACCAAGGGACCTAGATCAGGAGAATGGAGGTGGAAGGAAGAGATTTCCAGGACAGGGATAGGGGGGCCGAGGCAGGAGAGCGCTTGGTAGGGGTGCCCAAGGAAGAGAAAGGGCCCAGTGGCCAGAGCAGAGACGGCAAGGAGCAGGTAGGGCAGCTGCAGCCGCAGAGCAGCCCTCGGGCTTCGGTTCAGGAGCCCCAAGAAACACAGAAAGGTTTTACACAGGAAGGACGGGGGTAACTTGATAAGATATTTTCATGCTTTAGACTCTGGCTCCTGTCTGGATTCCAAAAGGGGGTCTTCCAGAGAGCAGATGGCTCAGTCCGAAGGAGCAGCTTTCCAGCTGGAAACGCCCCCCTCGTGGGGAAGGTGGGCACCATGGCCCGCGAGCCCCGCAGGTGCCTCCGTTTGCAGCGTGCGGTCGGTCTAGGCAGCACCCCTGCGCCCGGCAGCATCCATTCCCAGAGAGCTTTCTAGACATAAAAGAAAAGAGCAGGGTCGTGGCATCGCTTGTGACACAATTTTAGTAATAAGCTTCTAAATCCATCACTAACTGAGTCGAGGGATGCTAGAAATGAGATTCTGTAGGCCCTGTTTAATGGACCCCACGTTCGGTAGGGGGGTTTTTTGTATGTTTCCAGGGGAGGAAGGTATTTTCGAATGCAACTTTTTTTTTTTCCTGCTCTAGTTAAGGCTGATTTTACCACTGGGCAAATTGCATACATTTGGATCCATGCCACGCTAAATACTGTTTATTTTGGAGATCTGTCAGAAGCAAGCGCATGGAAGACAAGGGGATTCTGATTTGAAAAGGCAATTCGCATCCAGACAGATTCAGATGGAGAGGAGCGGTGCGGATTAAAATGCGCCGAAGTGGTAATGCCGTTTATCCAGTTTGCCTTTGTTACTTTGTGATTAAATGGTATTTTTAATTAAGTTTCATTGGGAGCCATAGGTATCGCGGTGGTGAAATCAATTTGACAACCATAAAGGCGGGGGAGGCCCAGGCGTGCAGTGATGATTGCGGCTGGAGGGAAAGCCGGGCGGTTTAAGGGGATGAGAAGGGAGGGGAGGGGGGCTGGCTAAGAATGACTTCCTGCAAGACAGCAAGGGCGCCCGGGGCCGCTGCTGGGTCTGCGGGCAGGTGCCAGTGGCAGTCAGGGAGAGAGTAACCTGCCCACCTGGGTCACCCAGTACATTCCAGAGCCGGCTGGGAACTCCAGGAGAGTGTCTGCGGGGTGTACTTCTCCTTTCTCTCATTGACAAGGACACACGACAGCACCCAACACCTGGAATGTCCAGCCTGGCTCCCAGGCAGCGCCTTCCCATAATCCTTCCTTCCGCCCGCCCCCATTCTCCCAGGACGGTTCTAGCTCCCCCTGTCTCAGAACCTTCCAGGGGCAAGTTCTTCCTGATGTCAGGCACAGATCCTCCTCCTTTGATTGGAAACGAGTCCCCTCTGCCCCCTGTGCTCTGTCCATCCTACTGTCATTCATCGGATCTTCCAAATCTTCCACTTCCTGAGTGGGGAGTAGACACTTCGGGCTGCAGGCTTCCCTGGGTGCGAGTCCTGGCCTGTGTGTGACCCGGTGGCTGCCCCGCTCCTTCCAACCTTTGTTCTCTCGTCTAAAAATTGGAGTAATGGGAATCCACCACCTAAGGTGGTTGTGAAGATTCGGAAAGTTAACGTGCACATAAAATGCTTTCCACAGTACCTGGCACCACACACAGGTCTTTAGTGAGGTCCTAGCTATCGTTATTAACCCAGTTTCCTGCGGTGACAGTTGTAGCTTATTGACTCGGGCAAATCCCTTAACCTCTCTGTGCTCCAGTCTTTGTTTATATAATGGGGTTGATGATAATGTCTAGCTCATTAGATTGCTCTATCCCCTGCGATCATGTATATTAAGTGATTTCCCATCATGTCTGGCACTTAATAATCACCCCATGCATGTAAATTATTATGATGAAAAATATTATCGGCGGTATCCCGACCAAAATATTCAGAGAGACTAAAGCTAGCTGTGGTTTGTTTAAGAAGAATGTTATGTTCCCAGCCCATATTATCCCATTTGCTCTTCACGGCTTCCGTCTTTTGCCAGGCAGATGGCATGGAACTTTTTATAAATGAGATACTATGAAAAATGATGCTTCAGGACTCCCATTACTACAGCCAGAGTAGGTCACCCATTGCAATTTTAGATTTGCTTAAAAAAATTCTTGCCGTCACCTTCTAATGGATGATCTGTGTACAACAATTGTTTATTGACTCTGAATGTCTAAGTACCAGGGTGAGTCTATTTCAAGCGGAGGGAAGCATTAATTAACCTCCCACATTAGATTCAGTGATTCTTTTCCAATGATGCAGCTCGTGACTTGGCTTGCATTTACTTTTCATCAATCCTGCAAGAGTCTAGGTAAAATAGTTCCTTTGCACATGTGTGTCAAGCTAAATGGATAACAGCAGATACAGATCTGTTTGCCTGTCTGCACTTGCCTTTAGACAAAATTCATCAATTTTACAAAAGCCACTGACGAAACATGGCACCAATACAAATGAAGCGCTTCTGGCGTGAGGGTTTCCCTTTGTTTCTAATCTGGGAAGTGCGGTGGCTTCCTGCTGAGAGATGGGAAGTGCTGGCCCAGGACAGCAAGGGGCCCTACAGGTGGGGACACAGGGTCAAGGCCAATCTACAGGACATTTAGGAAAAGTACAGTGGTCCCAGACCCTGTGCGCTTGGGGAAATTCTGACCCACTTGCTTAGCGACTGTGGCACGAAGCTCCTCTGCACTGTCTTGCTGGGTGTTAAAGATGACAGACCACAGGTGATCACTTCCTTAGTGTGTCAACTCTAAGCGCACCCTACTTACTCTTCCCACCCTCCAAGAGAAGAAGAAAAGATCTACGAGCCAGATCAATCCCCACAGGTAAAAATGACCATGACTGACTGTGTAGCCAGCAAGAGGGGATAACATTTGGAAGGGCTTTGTCTATGCTAAAGTCCTGCACAAGTCCAATTGGGGAGGGGGATTATTATTACTTATTTGTGAAACCTGTTTAATGTCGGTGGGTAATGGAAGAATTTCCGCATTCATTATCTCTGATCGGGCCAGGCCCGTCTGACACAGGAGTGGCATATGGCTGGCTCTCAGGCCACCGTAGGCAGCCAGAGCATGGAGAAATCTAAACATCTCTTGCACAGGAATCACCTCCCTGAGTGATGTTGAGGTCTCCTCTTTAATTTTTTCAGACTCCATGCACCTGGGGAGAAACCCCAAACCTGAGTACGAGGTATGTTCAGCACTTCGTAAAATAATCTTGGAGCCCCAGGACACATGGATGGAAGGAGCATGTTTTCATGTATTTCTTTGCAAAAACTGCTGCCCCCAACTGAAAAACCTGGTTATCCTTTCAAATAGGGAATTCAGTTTGTTCCACTTTGGAGCAAACACAGTTAACCTACAAACCCCTAAGCCCCACAAGGGATGAATCAATTTCTCAGAGCAGCTAAAGCTATTGCTCGTAACTCATCCAACACAGAAAACTGGACCTCTGGTCACCCGCCTTCCCCCTGCCCCCCAACTCTGCACACAGAGATTTCCAGTTGATTACGCCTTGATTAGAGTCGGGAAAGAAGCAAACCAGGTATATAGGGTTCCCCTTGTCCTCCTCTCCCCTGCACCCGACCAGGGTCAGGCTGAGAGAGATCTTGGTGAACATGTGAACAATCAAGCCGTGTTTACCATGGACGTTTAGCTTTCTTTTCTCCAAATCAAAACAGAGTTTAGTAGGCAGCGTATTTCATACATGCCCCTTGATCAATGGACTGATCTGTCAGAAGCCATTAAAGCCCCCATTAGCTTAAATGCATTCAAAGCTAAACTATTGGATCATTTAAGGGCCGCAGTGATTGTTTTTAATATACTATACATTGATTTCTCCCTGTGAGCAGCAACATAAGTTTGAAACTAACTGTGTATGACTAAAGCTGCCTTCGCTGTCTCCAGTGCTCTATGAAAAGCATGGTTTCACTTCGACCAGAAATGTCTGTGTTAGAGTTTTCAAAGAGATGCAGACCCTGTTAGATTTCCCAAGGTTTAGACGGGGTCAGGTTGTTATTTTTTTTTTTTTTTT